CCCCCTCTCTGCGGCCCTGATTCCTGATAATAGAGCAAATGTAAAAGCATGTACAAGTTTTGCCGTTACCAAGGTTACAACTAAATTCTCCAATGCAGTCTTCTTAAGGCCCGGTGCGGTTTCCAGTACGATTTTCTTTTTCAGGGGCGTAGTAATTGTAAGCAGGGGGCCACAGGCCCCTTAATACTTTATAAATGAATGAAAGAATTAATGAAAGACGGAAAGTGCCTAACGAAAGAGGTAGAGAAGACTCTGAAATTCCATTTCCGACGATCTATATACCATGGTGGCTCCGCGTAGACATTGTTTATTAATAGCATATAAATATATTCAGTAATAAAGAAACTCTTAATTTCCTTTCCTTCCTCGACGTTTCGAACTACTACTATTAATAGACAACTTGCATGTTAGACTAATTTTTGATTTAGGAAAAAAAGTAAATAATTCGTGTAAAGAACTTATTAAAATCAGTAAAATTGCAAAATTTGGTTACGAAATGTTGTAAAATACAGAAAATATAGCTTTGCGAATTTTGCATATTTTCAGTATGTTTGTATTTCGTGCGGAAATGGTTACCATTTTTGAGCCGAAAATGGTAACAATTTCCGCACGTAATACAAATATACTGAAAATATGCAAACTTTACAAGGCTATATTTTCCGTATTTTACAACATTTCGCAACCAAATTTTGCAATTTTACTAATTTCATTATGTTCTTTTTAACTGTTGTGTTTGATTCCCTTCTCTTTACTTAGATTAAAATTTAGTCTAACATGCAAGTTGTCCATTACGGTTCGCTTCTTCGTCAGTGCGGAAAATGTAAGCCCAAGAATTTAATTTTGTACCTCCCTCCCGGGATTTCTAATGGTCCGCCCCTAAACACAAGCAACTCGGGCTACTCAGCGGTAACCTGCCCGAGGCAGCACTTTACCTTGCGTCAGTAACTTGTATAGTATAGCTATTTCAATTAAGGTTGTCCCCCGAGCAAAGCGGAAAAGTACGTATGAGCGCGAAAGGCTGCTAGGAATCGCTAATAAATTTATTCATTTATTTGCGATTCCCAGCAGCCTTTCACGCTCGTATTCGACTTTTCCGCTTTGCTCGGGGGACAACCATAATAGAAGGTAAAGGCTCATCACTCTAGCGGCCCGACTCATCGCCTTCAAAGTCGAATATCTCGATCCGCTCAAACTTGTCGTACGACAATAAAAAAATTATTCTATGGTTTGATCATAGCTCGGGCAAATTTAGCGGCGAACGGAGCCAAAATCTCTCTCAATTTCGGCTAGCTATTTTCATAATTCATGGAACTGTTCGGGTATGTTCGGGCTGCGAGAAGGCTAGCATGATCGTGAACGTCACGTAAACAATCACCTTATCACCCAGTGACAATACCGCCTTGCACGGGGTGGAACATCATTAAAGCGACGAATAGACATTTCCCCTTTTGAGTGAAATTTTGATCTAGACAAGTCTGGGCAAAAATTTCATCACAGCTTGAAAGAGCATCACAAAATTAGTCATATTCCGAAGTTTCGTTGCGAAATGTTGTAAAATGCGGATAATATAGCCAGGGCCGTAGCGAGGGGGTATTGGGGGGGAGCTAACCCCCCCCCCCTCCCAACTTTTTTAGAATTAACATATTCGGAAAATTGGGTTGGCCATTCAGAAAATTACGGTAGTTGAATAGTATAACAAAATTTTAATTGTTAAACAAAGAAAATATAACATAATTGTATTGTCAGTATAAACTGATTTACGAAATCATGGCATTTACATGGAAAACATTTTAACAAATCGTAAATCGGTAAATGTTTTTCGGTTTATTACTTCTCAGGGCCGTAGCAATCGGGGAGGGGGCTGGGGGTGGGGGCTGCAGTCCTCCCAATAATTTGCTAATATCACTCTTTTTTCAAAATCATGCAGACCTTTATCATTTGAATAATATACCTTTAAAATACTGACAATTGATTAATTTTAAGCGGCTATATACATTATCCTACTTTCCTGCGACTTCTCCAATATATCACGGTTAATTAAATTGGATCTAAATTCGCCTTCGCCCGATTTAGTACTACTAAATTGTAAGCAAATTGGAAATTTCGATCTACTAAAACGCTGTTTTCTGACTATCAGAATTTTATCAAACCTTCCCTAAAGTCCAGGAAATGGCATTTCAAAGACTCTCAATTTAAAAATTTCCTCGGGCCGAAGGCCCTCGTTTTCAGCCGTTTTCAACCCCAAAACTTCAATTCGCAAGGCTATATTATTCAAAAGTTTTCAACCCCCAAATATATTCAAACGTTTTCAACCCCCAAACTTCAATTCGCAAGGCTATATTATCCGCATTTTACAACATTTCGCAACGAAACTT